AGTTTTGCTAACAGTTTTACTGACAGGTTTGTGCTTTGACTTGGCAGAATGTGATTTAACTGAATTATCAGCTAAATTATTAGTTAAAAATTGCTAAACAATATAGTCTGATATAAATATTAGTTTTGTTTGTGTGTGTGTGTGTGTATATAATTTATAATAGTTTTTTAAAATAATTTTTTTATTTAATATTTTTAAATGTATATTTTAATTTATATTATTTATAATATAATAAATACATTTTTATTTATGGTTTATTTTTTGTATTAAGTTTTTATATTATATCATGTAATTAAAATTATACTTATAATAATAAGGATAATATTTTAATATTTAATAAATACATTTTAAAGTTGTTCAAATTAAGTTCTTAGCAATGCATATTACTAATTAATTAAGTTTTGATATATTTACAGTAGGAAATTTACAAAATATCTTCATGGAACATGATCTTTACATAATATCCTAATGATTTTTGGCATAAAAGAAAAATCTATAATTTTGACCCATACAATGTATTGTTGGCTATTGCTACAAATATACCCCAGCGACTTAAGACTGGTTTTGTGCTCCAGGGTCACATATAATATAATATAAAAGACAAAAATACAACAAGTGTATGTTATTATCATCATTATTATTGGGGGAAGGGTTCAAGCTTTATTTTCTTTTTTTTTCACAAGGTTAACTGAAATCACGGGTGGCCACGCTCAAGACACAGCGCTTCTCTTCTCAGTCAGTAATGACCCTGGTGCTTTCAATCAGTGGCTCTCCACAGTGCCAGAAAAACCAGACATGATTTCCTTTTCACTGAAGCCCCTCCATTTGTTGCTGCCAGTCAAGAACCCAAAACATGAGCAGTTACGCAGAGCCATTCGTGACTACATACTGCAGAGGGCCCTTTTGAAGAACTGCTCTACACCTTGCAAGGCCGGTATCGCAACTAACCCCAAGGAGCCCTGTGTGTGCAGCTGTCATAACAACCCTGGAGTAAAAGCAAACTGCTGCCCTGCACAACGTGGACTCGCTCAGATTAGTGTAACTGTGATGAAGGCGACAGGTCTGTGGGGAGATTACTTCTCACAGACCGATGGGTATGTCAAGGTCCTGAGAAATCATAAGGTCTTTCTAGGGGAAACAGCAGTGATTTGGAACCAAAACTCACCAACCTGGAACTGGAAGTTTGATCTTGGCAGTTTCGTTCTCTCTCAGTTTGGGGGGCTGAGACTAGAAGTGTGGGATAGGGACAACAAGTGGGACGATGACCTCCTGGGGGCGTGCAACATACAACTGAAAGCCGGCATAAAAGAAGAATTCTGTCCACTTAACCATGGTTTGCTGTACTACAAGACGTCTGTAACTTGTGGTCCTAGTTTAACTGGCTCCTCATGCACAGATTACGTGGGCTCTCCGATGGCCTCCCATCTAGAGAAGGTATACGTGTCACGACATGCCCGTCCCATCCCGAAAGATGAGCTGATGAAAATGGGGGTGCTTTTAGATGAGCGCCGCTTGCTGTTTAGTCAAACCAATGATCCTAAAAGCAAAACGCAGACTTTGTGAAAGCTTATCATCAAAGCACAATAAAAAAAATATAAAAAATGTTTTTTCTTAAAATAAAATGTAAAAAAATATATCAAATTAAAATCATGCAAAATTGTGTTTTGCATCTCAACATTAAAAGGATAGTTCACCAATAAATGAAAATTCTGGCATTAATTACTCACCCTCATGTCGTTCCAAACCCGTAAGACCTTCGTTCATCTTCAGAACACAAATTAAGATATTTTTGATGAAATCCGAGAGTTACTGAGACCTGTTAAGGTCCTTGCACACTGACAGAGAAATGTTTGTATGCATTGTTGTATTCGTCATCCTTTCCTATCAAAATGCTTGATACGGATGCGAAAATGCAGAAAATCGAACCTGATCCAAATTTTTTTGTGACGGACAAAAGTTTCGGAGGCAGTGTGATTGACACAACGTGTGGTCGTATTTATTTTTTAACGAGCGAAAATTTCAGATGAGAATTTCAGACTCAGTGTGCAAAGACCTCTTCATAATGTCGCCTAGGGGTGATGCAGAGGAAAAGAATTGTTGAAAAAAGTCATTATTATTATTATTTTTTTTATTCTTGTAGCTTCGTAAAATTATGAAGGACTATTTTAACAATGTCCTTACTACCTTTCTGGGCCTTGAACGTGTCAGTTGTGTTGCTGTCTATATTCGTCATCCTTTCCTATCAAAATGCTTGATACGGATGCGAAAATGCAGAAAATCGAACCTGATCCAAATTTTTTTGTGACGGACAAAAGTTTCGGAGGCAGTGTGATTGACACAACGTGTGGTCGTATTTATTTTTTAACGAGCGAAAATTTCAGATGAGAATTTCAGACTCAGTGTGCAAAGACCTCTTCATAATGTCGCCTAGGGGTGATGCAGAGGAAAAGAATTGTTGAAAAAAGTCATTATTATTATTATTTTTTTTATTCTTGTAGCTTCGTAAAATTATGAAGGACTATTTTAACAATGTCCTTACTACCTTTCTGGGCCTTGAACGTGTCAGTTGCGTTGCTGTCTATGCAGAGTCGGAGAGCTCTTGGATTTAATCAAAAATATCTTAATTTGTGTTCTGAAGATGAACGAATGTCTTACGGGTTTGGAACAACATGAAGGTGAGTAATTAATGAGAGAGTTTTAATTTTTGGGTGAACTATCCCTTTAACATTTTATTATTGATGCTAAATTAGCTTTTTATTTTCTTTTTGCTATTCAGATCTTTGATACGATCTGTGGGGGGTTGCTATCTTCTCTCTCACTTACTTGCATGCAGATTTTTGTGGTTAATAAAGCAATTATGAAAACAGCAGTTTAAGTGATTCATGTCATTTTTGATTGTTAGGTTGGCGAACTGTGAAAAGTGTGTAGGAGGTTTAACACCACAAGAGGAACTATGTGACTAACAGCAGCACTGAGGCACATTTAACATTTTAGTCAAGTTCTGATTTGACAAGTTTAGTCCTACGGTCTGGCTCTACATCTGCAATGCACAGGTCAATGTGTAAATGAATTCTCACATGTTCCATTGACTTGTCGTAGACCCCGTTTCACCACAGAGCATACTCAGTGCTGAAGTGGCTATTCGAGACCACATTCAATTCCTCTAAACTGAAAAGCGTACCCCCACTCAGCCCACAACGGATGAGTGTATTTTTTATTGGTAGCAAATAACGGTAAAGCCCACCCACAAGCTAGCATTTATTTCCTACATATAGCCCCTTTCACACATCACTCACCAATGCCTGCTGGACAAAACAGAGTAGTTCGAGGTAAGAAGAGAATTTTACATCATCTTTTAAAGAAAATAGTGCTTTTTTTCTTGCTGCTCAAGTTTATGTCTGTGATGTAATGCAAAAGAAATAAGCAACTAAAATTTGTTCTTTTTTAATAATATTCCTCATGATCCCTGTAGGCAAGATCCACTTAATTGTCACAAACCTAACTACTATACAATATAATAACGCTTTTTCCATCATGTTCATGCACAACACACTGTTATTAAAAAACCTGCAGCACAAGGCATACATCCTGTTATGACAGTCCTGTTAATATTTCAAAATTAGTTACATTTTGGAGACTAGAGTTTAAAAGTAAGGCATTAACCTGTTTAATCCCCAATTTTTCCCAGGCATGAAAATAACCCTTTGAAATAATAATAATTTTTTGAATTTTTTTGGAAAAGTGTGTGAAAAATTGTGTTTTATGGTCAGTCACAATTGTGACCGGTGGGATAATGTGTGTACTGAATTAACATATTTCTGCAGTAATAAAAATCGTTACATTTCTTAGCCCAGCTATTTTAAACAGTTTGATCACATTCTAGTGTTACTATTATGCATAAAAAACCCTTATACAACATTGATAGGAATACTGAGATAAAAGACAAAAAGTACAACCATCGACGTTTTTCTAAATTGTTAATTTTTTTGTAATACTTAACAAAATTTTTATTTTATGGTCAGTCACAATTGTGACCGGTGGGATAATGTGTGTACTGAATTAACATATTTCTGCAGTAATAAAAATCGTTACATTTCTTAGCCCAGCTATTTTAAACAGTTTGATCACATTCTAGTGTTACTATTATGCATAAAAAACCCTTATACAACATTGATAGGAATACTGAGATAAAAGACAAAAAATACAACCATCGACGTTTTTCAAAATTGTTAATTTTTTTGTAATACTTAACAAAATTTTTATTTTAGTGCTACCAGTATTACAACATCAATATTGTAACTTATATTTGCAGGAAGTGCATTAAAACCTTAGTAAGTCAGTAAAGTTTTTAGAGGTTTAAAAAAATGAAAACCTTTTTTACGGTCACTATTGTGACCAGTGGGATTAAATGGGTTAAGTATGTCTTATTTTTATTTATTTTTTTACTTCAGAAGTACTTCAGAAGTCATTTAAATATTACAAATCTATTTGGTAATGAAAATGAACTATTATGTCAATATTTTTATTTATTTATTACATTATGAAGGTTTTGGAGCTTTTACATAATAGTAATAATAATTTAATTAAAAAGTAACTGAAATGTGTTCTTTTTAAATATTCCTTATGATCCCTGTAGCCAAGATCCACTAAATTGTCATAATCCTAACTACAATACAATATAATAACCTTTTTCCATCATGTTCATGCGCAACAGACTGTTATTAAAAACTTGCAGAGCAAGACATCCATCCTGTTATGACTGTTATTTATAATAATTTAGAATTTTGAGTGTGAAAGTAATTTTGTGAGACTGTAATTTTTGTAATTTAGTAATTTTTTACTCACCATTGATTGTGCAATTTTGTACTGTTATTTCAAGTTTCAATAAAAATAAATAAATACATCAATAAAATATAAACACTCGCGCACACATAATTGTCATGTTTTTTTCATAGGAAAGAAGAGCATCCATACACCTTATCTCAATCCATTTTACAGGAATGTGGGCCGGGCTTGTTTTTTACCTCTTTCTGCCCATCGTGCAGTCATGCACTAAAGGTAAACCGAATGAATGTGCAGAAGCAAACTTCGCCCCCGGGTCCAACCTGGCCGGAGAAGGATACGATGTGACCAAGATGCAGCGCATGGGAGCCTTTGTCATTAACACAGAGGTCTGGAGGCGAAAGGATAAATCATGCACTCTTTGCAGGAACCCCTACATGGAAGGAGCAAATCAAAAGCTTCCCACATCTGTGGTAGACTGGAGATCCAGCAAAAAGTGCAGCATTCAGATATCAAGTTCCCTGTACCAGTCCAGTGAAGAACTGGTCAGCTCCAGCACTTCCTCCATTGAGAACAACTGGGGTGCAAATTTGGACATAGATATTCGCCAAAATAAAGGCTCATTCGTTTTGGCTGGAACTAACTCAAAGCTTGCAGAGTACTCAATGGAGAAGACCAAAAGAGACAAGTACAATTTTGCCAGTCAAAGTATTTCGTGTTCATTTTACAGGTGCGACATACCAGCTTCCATTGCTTCATGCCTTCCTTGAATACTGAATACTTTTTATTCATGATAAAGGAACCGAAAGAGTCATATTATGCAATCTTCTCCTATTTCTTCTAACATTTCCATGTCTACCTACAGCTACAGGGTCTCCAACAAGCCTGTTCTCCATCCTGAGTTCAAGCGCTCTGTGAAGGAGCTTCCTAAGACATACAATCTTAATTTCAAAAAGCGTTTTTACAAGTTCATTAACACCTATGGAACCCATTACATCACTAAGGTAATTCT